ACACACACACATGGAAATTGAAATAGCCACCATGAGCCACCCGTAAATGAATGGGTGTTGCAAGCGTCGGACAGTCTGCGCCGTGGCATCCCAACATCATCTTCTGTAGGCTCAGAACTGCCTTTCAGGTCGCCTCAGAGCCAATCATTTGCCAATGTTAAGGAATCTACAATACATGGCAAATATAAGTGGTGCACTGTTGCTAAGGAGTCGAATGATTGTCACGGTAGAGGTCAAAAGCATGCAAACTCGATACGGCTCTTCGAAAGACAGTTCCAGCCTGCTCTTCGCATTCTTCGTGGTGACAAAGAGCGCTCACCGAAACCCAGAAGAGGGGACCCCTGGCCCCTGCAAAGGCAGAGAACTTACAAACAAATGACTACTGCTGCTACTGCTGCTACTATTGCTCCGCAGAAAACCCTCGCCATGCTTTCGGGAAAAGCACTGCCTCGCAAGATCTTCGGCAGTTGATCGTGAGGTAGGAGGCGGGCTCAATGAGAGTATCTCCCGCACAGCATGTCCGCCTGGCAAGCAACACAACCATAGCACACAATAGTATTGCCCAACCTTCCATGCTGTCCTTCGTGGAATGGCCATGCCCACCGTAATAGGTCTCACATCATGTTTCAATTGCGTGGATGCGGAATCTTCTACTCTCAATGGTAACTTGTGCCAGCATGGCACATCTCAGCAGAGAACTGTGTCAATCTGCGCCTCGGGAGTCCTGCCGGGCTTTCGGAAACACATTGGAACGAAGATCAACGGCCAACGAAACTGCTCAGCCTCCAGAAGTCTCTCAACGAATTACAGAAAGAGAGAAAGAGGGGCGTGTGATGCTCGAATATGTGAAGAGGTTCCGTGCTCGAGGCAACAGGCGACGTGTGTTCACGGGAGGCCTAAAAAAGACCATTCGAACTCGCACGTTCAACCGCTCTGGGCTGGTTGCCGATGTGAGCCCCGCAGCTCCAAGGCCAGCCGTACATCTGACCTGGCGTGCGCCTGCCCTGTCACCCTGTCAGGTGCACCTCAAGAAACGTCAAGAGTGCTTGGACTCTGAGAACTCTGGTGGTATTTGCTTACACCAGAGCGCTGCAGCACACGCCCACAGCAAAGGCCATGGACTCGAGCGAAACGAAACAAATACCTAGACACTGAAAGTTCTGACCAAATCATCGGCCGTGCTGGCTTCATTCACGCGTACAACGACAAACCTACAGCAAAGTAGCACGGTACATACACCGAGCCAGACATACCAAGCTATTGAGATTCTGACCGAATCATCGCCGCTTTGACCAAGCAAATCAATACAACAACCGCAGCTGCACAGCCGTCTTTTGCGCTGCGTGAGTGCATCCTGCCTGCAGCTCCCAAAGTTGACTCCAACTACCGGGGTGCAAACCCCGATCGCTAGGCTCAAGCCCGCACAAAAGTTCAACTCAGAACGACAAAATCCTGCACGAGGTTCGAAGTCTTACGGCAGAACTGCAAAGCTGCAATCTCTACAGTGCTTGTTCGGAGTGAATTTGCACGAGACGAGGCTAGCCGGCGTGAGAATGCTGAGAAAGTGCGGTTACAATAGGTTTTTGGGCTCCCGCGATGACCGTGTCGCTTGACTTTTCCCTTGCACGCAAAGACTTTATCACTCAGCTGGTTGAAACTGCCCCAAGCACAGCTCGATCCCGAGCAGAGCTCGATCCCGAGCATAAGATGAGCCCCTCGTGCACCACTAGTCTAAGTGACATAACGACTGATTACAACAACGATGCAATGCACGCATGGGTCTGCATGCAGCACCTCAAGAAGGTTGTCACGCACACGAGTGTTCTACATGATCCCCTGTTTAACATAAAGGACGGATGTTGAACTGAAAGCCCAATTGGATCAGTCCGCTGGGATTCTCGCTGAGATCACCCAGAATCGCTAGGTCACCTGCCCAGCAAAGGGCGAGAAATAATTTCTTTTGGGCTTTTGTTGATGCATTGCACCATTTTTTGTCTAGGGTTCCTATTAAAGAAAATGGGTTTGCCTATGAGAATAGGGCGTAAATTGAGGTTTTGCTCAGTGAAATACAGAGGAATAAAGGTGTCCCATGAAAACAGAAATTAAGGAAATAGACGTTTAATGGAGGTTTTCTGATTAAGAACCTGGAGAAAACAGAGGCTCTCCATTTACATCATAATCTTCTTTTTAAAGCAAGCTTGCAAGGGTTAAAGGCCTCAAAAGAAATAAACCAAAAGCAGGGGGTTGAGGTGGGGGCTCGCCCAATTTGCCAGCTCACAATTCTCGCATGACGGGCTGGAAAAAGGAGTTGCATGTTCTCTTAACACAAGTCCTGTTTGTGCGTGATCTTGTTTATCAAGCATTGTACAACCAAAAGGGGGCCCTGCTGTTTCAAACACGATGCTCGTGTGACGGGCTTGCAAAAACTTACGCACGCTTTCTTCGCGAAGCTCTCTTTTCTGGCATGCTTTTCTTTAAGAAAGAAGCTTGCAAGGCTTCCAACAAATAAAACCAAAGTGCGGGGGGGGGTAGGGGGTAGGGCGGCGGCCCGAACCCCCCGACTTTGAAAAGCAAGCTGGCAAAAAGCCTCAAAACAAGCCAAACAGCCATGTGCAAACACAATGCTCGCATGACAGGTTGCGAAAAGGAGTCGCATGCTTCCTTAACGCAAGCCCTCTTTGAGGGCATGCTCTTCTTTTATCCAGAAAGCTTGCAAAGTCACAAACAAGACTTGAAACAAAAGCGAAGGGTTGAGAGGGAGCACACCCATTGGCACACAGAATACTCGCATGAAGGGTTTGGAAAGGGACTCGCATGCTTTCTTGGCGCAAGTCCTTTGTACGGAATGCTTTTTAGCGGGGGAGTTGGGGGGCACAACTGGGGACAAAACATATCTTTGGCCTAGTGACTAGTGCCGCCAATATGGGTTTAACCAATAGGCAACCAACCTAGTTGTCTATTGGTTAAACCAAAGAAAACCAGGCTTTCTATTGGTTTTATTGGTTATATTGGTTAAAAGAATAGAAAATCAATAAAAATCAGGTTTTCTATTGGTATTTCCATAAAAACCCATAGAAAAGCTGGTTTTTCTATTGGTTGTCTATTGGTTAAGCCCATGGAAAACCAGGTTTTCTGTTGGTTTTACTGGTAAAACCCATAGAAGATCGACAAAAAACTTTTTTTGCTGTTGGTTTTCTATTGGTTTTACCAATAAAAACCCATAGAAAACCTGGTTTTCTATTGTTAGCTCGCGATGAGGAGTGACCCAAGCAAAGGTGCCAGGATAAAATTCCCAGGGTGGGCCTGGGAGGGAAGTTTAAACACAGCCTTTGATCCTGCTGTGGAAATCCTGCAGCACTCCAATGCATGCTAACTTGCGTCTGCAATTCTGCAACGCTGTAATTTTCTATTGGTTTGCATTTGGTGCTCTATTTATTTACAGCGTATGATCGTATAAAGCGCATTAAATAAACCCTAAACCCTATATGAGAAATCCAATAGGTCACCGAAGCCCTTTAAACAAATCAAGACCCCTGCTAAAGCTGTTTGGGGAAAGAGTCCAGAAAGATCAGGGGCCCCAGCAAATGGTCCCATGAAGGATCCATGCATGCGCACCCATGCTGTCACGGCTCATTCTGCAAAGCTACACGCGTGACCCTTGCAGAAGATTTTCAGACCCTTTGCCTGGCTTCCGGGGTGCCGACAAAAAGCGGCCCCAGCAGCTTTCTGATTTTTCTGCTCCTTCCATGGGGCCATGACCAACATCCAACAACCAACAGTCTGAAAACCCCTTGCGGGCAAAAGCAAGCTTCTGCCATTTCCACTTCCACTTCAGCTTCTCACAGGCCTGGATCCGCCATCGCCGCAAGCAGCACAAACAGTAGGCCAAAACGCTGCGGAACAGGTTCTTCAGAGGAGTCGCTGACACTGTAGGCGGAGAGGGCGAAGCTCATTCACAAAAAAGGCGACCATCCGCAACCTGGGCAGCCTTTTGCTTTTGGGGCTGGAGTGACGCGTCGCCGTTGTCAGAACGGGTCGTCGAAACTACGTTGCCCTGATTGCACTTCACGGTCCCTCGTCCTGGAGAGCCGCCACATGGCGGCAGAGGTGAAGCCTCTATGCGAAGACTGCCCGGGGCATGAGGATCTGCTAAAGACCGATCCTCATCCCCCGCATTGCCATGACACACAGTAACGAAATGTAGGTCAGGCTGCAGAGAACCAGTGCAATTCAGCAGCGCCTCTGCGCTGGCGCTGATGAGCATACTTTCTGGGCAGGGGAAACTCCACCTCAAGCCTCGCAGCATATCGCAGTGACGCTTAAGTGGTTCTTTGACAAAGAGACACCCTGATAGCAAGCAACGAGCAAGAGTCCCAACAAAAGAAGTCTCCGGAAGGTGATAAGCGAGAACAAGCCGCCGAGGCCGCAAGCCCAATCAACACCCCCTGCCTGCCAGCCTCGATCCCATGTGGCCCGTGGGCACCCCTCTTGTTGTTGGGACAGTGGGATGCCCTGCATAGTTGCGATGTTTTGTTTCAGCTTGTCTCATTTTGAAGAGCAAGAAGCCGGCAACTCCAGAAGCTTATAGAGTTTGACAATTATAAACTGATATGCCCGAAACTTCCAGGGACATAGGGGGCGGGGTCAGGGACAAGGGGGGGGGTTGTACATTGGCCATAAACCGCCCCCAAATGTTTAAGGCCATCCCAAAGAAAATTGAAGCAGGCCCCAGTATCTATATTCCTGCAGGAGGTCTTAGAGGTTCTTGTAGCTTTTGTGGAATTTTGCGGGTTTCTCTAGTTTGGGCTTGGGGACATGTTGAGCTCTTTCAAAGGAATGCGGTTTTCAAAGGCATATGTTCTCCATGTAGACATGCTGATGAGCTCTCACATGCGGGCCGCGCCCGAGGCGGGCCACATTTGCATTATTATCAGGCGCGAAGTTCGCGAAGCACTTTTCGGATGGCACAGTTTCGCTTGCCCCTTCATTGCCTCTCCTTGTCACATCGGAGTCTGGCCTACATGGTGCTCACGCAGATCGGTGCGCGGCGAGAAATATAAGCCGAGAAAACACAAGAACAGAGCACGGGCAGGTTCTGTGAATTGTCGCAAGTGAAAGCGGATTGAGGCGAAAGAACTCTTACTGCCGGCATAGTCAGCAAAAATCTTCCCTCTTGCTTTCGGAAAATCGCTGTCGTTGGGTGACATTCCTGCAAGATTCTGCACATCTTTGCAAGTCTTTGCTATGCATCCGGGCCATTTGTCCGCTTGCCATCCATGGTCTTGTGCCCAGGGCTCCACATGGACTGCACCAGCACCTCAATGAGAAAGGAAGCAAATGTCACAGTGTCACATGAAGCATGGACATGGATTCTCAAGTTTTCAATATATTTTCAAGCAAATACCTTACGATTCCAAGGCGGCAGCTGTGCATGAGGTGCACTGATGTCCTCGCCAATGCTATCGATACCTTCTTCAGGGACTTGGCTCATACCTCCATGCACACCTAATTACCCATCACGTGCCCATCATTCCCATCGTTCACCCTGGTTCACCTGCAGGAACGGTCTGTCTGCAGACCTTCTCTGCTGTCCCCATGGCGGATTCATTAGAACAAGGTCGCAAGCACAATCTGGATCATCTGCCACCTTCAGAGCACTCTGTGTTCTGGTCTAACAGCAGCAACGGCATTAAGAAAAGTTTCTTCTCACCTCCGCCACATCGCAGCGCAAGACGCGAGCTCGTGCTGACAGGTCTTGCGCCTGCAGTGCTGGTGAAAGTGAAGAAATTGTTAGCACAGAAGCTTTAATTATGTTTTATCAGTGCCTGATCTTTCGAACAAGCAGACACGGATCCTGTCTCCTTCCCGCTAACCCAACCCTTCCCCCCATGCCAAATTTTGTGACGCACCCCACCCCCCCGCTGTGTGGGACCCCTCCCAACGCTTGGAGGAGCTGCAAACCGATGCCCGCCTGGCGGCTTTTCTGGAACCCCGACCCGGGACCGCCAGGGGACCCCCCCCGTGACCCCCCCCCCCCCGTGACCCCCCCCCCCCCAAAACCCCCCCCCCCTCCGCGGGGACCCTGGGACCCCCGGCTGCCAGGCGGCGCGCGCAAGCGTTCACAATTATGTTTTCTCATTGCCTGGTGAGTGATCGTGTTCGAGTTTTGTGTTGCTGAAAGAATCCCTTTCTTGGCGCAGGCCTGAAGTGCATCTTCAAGCGCATCAACAGCTGCAGCATCGACCTCAAGACGCATTGCATCATTGCGTCATTGCGGGGCGCATCCTGATTCCATGTGTAACACATTCTAACACATTCTAACACATTCTGTCACATTGCTAACATTACTTTGCTTCTCGCCTCGACGAAAGTGACACGTGGCGCACCCAGAAGCAATGCCCCGATTCCCAGGATGCCGTTTCCAGCACCAAGGTCCACAACACCCTCAGTGCATACTCCAAACAAAATGCCGCACTGAAAAAGCCTTGACCTTGCCATCATCAGACTGCTTAGGGCTCAAGAATGCTCATCGCCTTCTTGAATCCCTGAATGACTGACTGAGTCTGTGCACATGCGATGAGTTTGTGCACATGCGATGGCTTGAAGTGGTGCTGTGTCAGCAAACACGCATTGACGTTAAACCTTTGCAGTGAAGGGTTCACATTCAATCAAACCGGGGGCCTTTTCCATCTCAGCAAACGTATCCTGACAGGCATCGATCGGTGAATCCATCAACTGTGCTTGCGAGTTCTTGGTCGTGCAACTCCGCTTGTGCCTGTCCTGGACGTTTATCCCCAGCAGCCAGCGAGCAGCGATATCTCCATCAGTGGCATACCTGTGGTGGGTGCGGATTCCAAGAGGTTTCACCGATGAAATCGGTCAAAAGAAATACTTTAGGTCGCCCAGCTCTTGGTGGAATCGTGGCTGAGGTTGCATGCTGGCTGAGCCAAGCTTGGTGGGTCTAGAAGCATGTGTGAGCTTCGTGACTTTCGGATTTAAGTTAGGGGCCACCAAGGCTTGAGGCTGCAAGGAGCAAAGTGACTGTAGAAACATTAAAAACATATATGGGCAGGGGTGTCTTTCCAACTGCTCACACGATGAAGCGAAGGACGACTTGCTTGCAAGAGAAACCACATCTCCGACCTCTCCCATGCCTGGCAAGTCCGGGTCCCCATGGTGACGACAAGTTGCTGCTCCAGTTTCGCATTCTTTGACGGATGGTTTGGCAGCCCGGAGAGCTCCATGGCCTTCGACTGCTAAATGCTGCACCATTTCGCGCAACAAAGCCATGTAAGGCATACGTAAGCCGCTGTGCCCCCTGCCAAGTGCTTTTGCTTCCACACAGCACCTAGCAAGCCGAAAAACAAAAATCTTGCGCCGCAATTTGGAGGCTGTTCGTGGCTGTTCAGGCCCGGCACTCTGCCAGCAGGTCTTGGACTGTGTGAACGCAGAACGCAAGGATCTTCCCAGTCAGATGTTCTTGGGGCCTCAAGCTTCTCTCTGTGCGACTAGGTTCGGGCACCAGCTGCTGCTCTTCGAGTTCGCCTATTGCAAGAAGGCCAAGGTTGGCTCTCAGCAACTGGCATTTGGCAGTAAAACTGCGGATATTGCCTCCAGGAAACTTGTTGCAGGGCAGCCATGACCTTAACCCAGCGATTGCGGCGCAGCACTTTACTCGCATTCGATGGATCCCAAACCCGGACAGCAGAGGTTCAGGTCAGGATGGCAGCATGTGTAGACCAGTCGCGCACGGAACAACAGCAGCGCGGTGCGAAAAGCCATTCGGCGGCAAACCTGCGGAGCGAGGAATTGACTTCGCGGTCGTGCGCAACTACCCCAAAATTCCAAACGGTTCTAAGCGACTCTGCTTCTGTTGACAATCTTGCTATGGCCTCTCTGTGCACGGTGCACAGGTAGTTGCCAACAATGCGGCAGCAGGGATTGCAAAGTTGCTTCCATTACTGAAAGAAACCTTTGAGGCCGGTGCACTGGAAAGCTTGCAATGTGCTAGGACTGTATGTAGGCACAGAATCACACAGAGTCTTTGTAGTTTCGGATGTGAGGCTTGGGGTCTGGGTCTCTGGGCTTCGAACCTCATGTTAAGACGCTTTTCAACTTGAATCAGCTCAGTAGCTCAGTGTGCAACCAAACCAGATAATGGATTGATTGCTCTGCATTGCACTATGATGCTACATGATGCTACCCTGTTCTTGACGGCGCTCCTTGACATGGAGCCCTGATTGCTGACACACATCTGATCACCGAAGCACGGTGCTGCCATGCCCTTCGACAAGTATCAGCATTTCTCTTTTGGCTGCACAGCTTGTTACGCGCACGGCTGGGAGCTCTGTATGCTTCAGGTCCCAAATCTTTGTGAAACCGGACACAAGCCGAACATTGTCAACGCAATCTCCCATGTGTTAGCAACTCCCTGCACTCGCTTGATTCGTTCATGATCAAAGCGTTGAAGAATATGGGCTAGGCTTGTGGAAATCCAAAAGTCCTCAATTCTCACCCTCATGGACGTGATGTGTGGTGAAACAGCGACTGACGCGAGACAAGGTCTTCTTGCCTGAAACAAGGCTTCATGCACACAACACCCGATAACGTCTTTGCATTACATTCGCCAAAGACCTTTACATATTGACATGACCCATCGAAGCACGTGGCTGGCGAAGTAATTAATAGTAACATATAATAACCTTTGAAGTTCCCTGATGGGCCCCATGCTGTGAAAAGACGCCGTAAACGCGTTTGCAAAGGAACCAAGCCGGCTGAGCACTGCTTCCCCGCTAGTTATTTCCGCTGACCTGGTTTTTGAATGTTTTTTGGATTCCGCATGCTTATCGCCGGGCAGAAGCGGCAACAGTTACAAGGATGGGGCGTGTGGGGGACGCGAGATCCTCGCAACTGCGATGGCTTGGGAATTTTGGAGTTTGTTGATTATGTCTTCGCATGTCTTCACATGCCACAGCAAGCAAGGTTTTGGTTCTTGACAGAGCGTGTACGTGTTTTGGGGTCGCGAAACATCCCGTTTGACAGTTTAGATCCTCAGCTCGTCTTCTCGCATGTCAAGAGTGCGCCGACTGTTACGAGGCTTGCACTGGGCTGCACGATTGGGGACTACTGCCGTTCCTGTATATCTGAGATATCTGAGCGAATCAGTGTGTTTCACGGCAGCATCTGACACGACTGAGTTCCTGCAGATGATGAAGCCAGATGATGAAGCCAAGTGGAAAGCATAGCGTCCAAGCGCATTCCTTTCTCTGTGTTGAACCATGCAGAAACAACAAACCGGCCAGAGATGCACCTGCCCTTCTGTCCTCGTCTGAGTAGTTTGAAGACGCCCGCAAGGTCTCGCGTGCATTTCGTTTTGCACACTTTTTACAAACTTGCCTGCTACACTGGTGTTCCACGATGCCCTGCTGTCACATTGGCCGCCTTCCGGCGTTCCTGAATACCGGTCCCGCTATTGTTGCTGCGCTGTACGCTCCGCGGATCGGTCTGCTGCTGTGATTATCCTGCTGCCTGGGGTCTTCTGGAACCTGCGAGTTTTCAGCTCAACTGCTTTCGAAAGAAACGAGTAAGGGTGCTTGTTCTGTGCTGAACAGCACAAATCCCCAACACAAACGCAACAAAGCACACGCGTCCTGATAAATACCTCCACTATCACACAAGTACCGGCCTGCAAAATAAGATGTCTGCACGCAGAACGTACCTGTGGCGGAGGGCTTTTTAGGCGCACAACATGGCACAACAGTAGCTTTGATGCTTATATAGACTAGAGTCAATTGCCAGTCAAGTGCAGTTAGAAGACGAAAAGCCTAGTGAAAGCTGCAAAAAAACAGGGTCAAGCCAGAACCCAAAAACAATCCGAATGAAAACAGTGCCGGAGTGAAACCCCCACTTTAACATCCATTCCGTATGCACACTTTATAGAAGAGCATAAGAAGATAATATTGCGATGAAGGGTAATTGATTAGTTGAGGCGAAAAAACCTCATGTTACGGCGTGTCTGTCGGAAGCGTACAGACTGAGACTGCGTGTTGGCTTTGGTTGTACCCGGTCCAGAACATCCAGAACTCATCAATTCGCCGCAGCACGCGTGCGCGCCGCAGTCAGCTCTCGCGCCCCTCCGGCTCCTATTTGTACTACAATTCAACGAAAATCCCTCGGCTTCCCGCGCTGCAGTACGCGCCGCAATACGCGCCGCAGTCCGCTCTCGCGACCCTCCGGCTCTGTCCTCCCATTTCTACACATTTGCACTATAATTCAACGAAACTCCCGCACCGCAGACGCGCCGCAATGCGCCGCAGTACGCGCCTGAGTACGCTCTCGCGCCCCTCCGGCTCTGTCCTCCGAGTTCTACTTTTGTACTACAATTCAACGAAAACCCCTCAGCTTCCCGCGCAGTACTCGCCGCGGTACGCACCGCAATCTGCTCTCGCGCACCTCCGGCTGTGTCCTCCCAGTACTACATTCGTACTACAATTCACAACGAAAATCCCTCAGCTTCCCGCGCCGCAGTACGCGCCGCAGTACGCGCCGCAGTACGCGCCGCAGTACGCGCCGCAGTACGCGCCGCAGTCCGCTCTCGCGCCCCTCCGCCCTTTGGTTCTGTCCTCCCAGTACTACATTTGTACTACAATTCAACGAAAATCCCTCAGCTTCCAGTGCCACAGTACGCGCCGCAGTATACGCGCCGCAGTATACGCGCCGCAGTCCGCTCTCGTACCCCTCCGGCTCTGTCCTCCCAGTACTATACATTTGTACGCCGCAGTCCGCTCTTGCGCCCCTCCAGCTCTGTTCTCCCAGTACTACATTTGCAATTCAACCAAAATCCCTCAGCTTCGCGCGCCGCAGTACGCCTCCGGCTCTGTCCTCCTGGTACTACATTTGTAATACATTCAACGAAAATCATTCCCGGTTGCGTTTTCATATCGCTCTCATCCCGGTTTCGTTTTCATCCCCGCAGGCGCCATCCCAGTCGCGTTCACCCCGTTTTCGCTCCGTCTCGTTGTGATCCCCGTGCCATCCCCGTTTCATATTCATCCCCGTTTAGTTTCACCCGTTTCGTTTTCATCCGGCCAATCTGATCCCCACGCCATCCCCATTTTGTTTTCATCCCCGTTTTGTTTTCATCCCTGTTTCGTTTTCATCCCGCGGCTCTGATCCCCCGTTTCGTTCTCATCCCCGCTTCGTTTTCATCCCCGTTTCGCTTTCACCCCGCGCCGCCATTCCCCGGCATCGCTCTTTCGCGTCTTGAACCTAAACGAGAACCCAACCAACATCCGAGATGATTTTGGGAAAAACTCTCACCCACGCCGTCGAAACGATGGGAAATTCACGCTCCCAGCGGCCACAAACCACTGACATGGAAGTTGGTAAATCGATGCAAAGCGTCACCGCGTCACATTGGCAGAATTATGACAACTGCTACATGTCTTGCTATACATGCTTTGGCTATGGCCAACTAGCAGCTTGCACTGGAATGACAAACTCGCGAAACAGGCATTCCCTCAAAGACAGTGGTCACTTCTGGCCATGGTGAACCTCCATCTCCTCCTGTACTTGGCAGTACCTCGTGCAAGCTTCGCACCGCCCCTAGAGTGAAGCAGCTAAGTTTCGCTGGCGAATTCAAAATGCAAAGCAGCTGGCAAAACGTGTTGGGTTTGTTGTTTGTTCTACTTTGCTTATTTCTACTTCAATGGCACAAGAAGTGCTGCGGCAGCACAAGCTCAAGCGCTGTGCAAAGATGTTTAAACTATGCACACAACTCGCACCCACCTTAGAGCCTTAGAGCTGGGACTTGCGTGTGGATCGAACATGCCGCCCATTCTGGACAGGGCATCCCGCACACACGGGAAGCCCTTGTGGCGGCGCTTCCCGCTCCATCCCCTTCCTGGCCTCCAAACCCTCGGGTTGCGTCGGTTGCGTCCGGTTGTCCAGACGTTTGTGCGACCTATTGCTTTGGATGCAGTGCTTGCGCATCTCCCATCGCTCAAGTAGCTTAAATTTTGATTTGGTGGTTGGCCCACACCTTCCACCGTGCCAGCTTTCGTGCAACACATCTCGCGTGCAACACATCTCGCGCTCCTTGCTGCTGCCATCGACGCCGAACCAAATGAGAGGCATCAGAACTAGCCCGGCAAACAAAATGGCCCAATCTACCCCAAACCACCGTCTGATGATCCCACACTGGCCTCTTTCTTGAACATGAGTTGACACCGTCCAAACTGGCGCCAGTCCCCGGCGCAAAGCTGCAAACCCAGATCCATGCCTCCTAAAGCAACACTAGCTCCTTGTTTTCTCTCACTACGAACTGACACTCCCCTCTTCTCAACTAGCATTTAAGTGCGACAAGTAAATCTGGGTTGCCTCCGCTAAAGCGAGCATTCAATTCTGTCCTTCTCTCCTGCCCGAAAACTCACATACTTCGAACACCGCCTGGAGCATATGAACAGTGAGGCATTCTCTGGGATTGCACTGTTACAGTGGCAGAGAATCAGGAGTGGGCACTCCATGGATACTCTGCAGAACTTTCCGGGGTGGGCACTCCAGGGATACTCTGCGGGATTCTTTGTGGTCTTCCCTAAATATGAGTGTGTGCAAACGATGCAGGCCAAGAAATCCGAAGGGGTACAGGAGCATGGCTGAGCTATCAAGACAACCCCCCCCCCCCCTCCCGAAGATGGGAAGGAAAAACCATTTGAGCTGACATTTCCTGACTCGCCGACTCTGTGCAAAAGCTCGCATTCCATCACGAAATACACTCCCGGACTGTATCAAACTGGTCTGGCATGTGCGCTGAGTGTTGTTGTGTAAACGGGATGTATCAGCATAAAACTGGAGAGGTAACGTGTACTACGCAAGCTCAGATGAGAAAAAGACTCGCTGGTGAACCGCAACTCCATGTTGGCCATCTACATTTGTCAAATCATGCGAGGTGGTGGCTGCCATGAATGAACTCTGGCAGCTTCAACTCATGCTTACCAACAGCCCTTCTTCGACCCTGGAAGTTGAAAAACCAAACAAAAACGCCGACATGACTGACCACCTCAAACGACATTTGTGAGTTGTTCAAAATACCTGTCCCAGGGCAACCATGAAGTAGGCTCCCTTTCTATATTCCCCTTTGAAGAAACTCTTTTTAGAACAATCTCACAGTCTCACTGAGCCAGCTGCTCTCCCTGAGGGTAGATGAGAGCCAATCCGTCCTGCACATCGGCACCACTGATTTCAGAAAGTGGCCATTTGCCCCACCCATTCGCTGCATTGCCTCACTCACACTCGTATCATTCCACCCTAATGTAGCTCTTCCGGACGGCCTACGTGGCAAGTGGGGCAGGTGAATCAATTTCAAATTCCGGCTTCCCACGATTTTAAAGCATTGCTAAGAAGAGCAAAGCTGGACACTTCGCGCGCTGAGTCGCAAAGTGTAAAGGCCAACACTGTGCAAACACCGTAACTCCTGAAAAGCCTCACAAGCAACAGCTCCTCAGGTTCGAAAACCACAGGCTTCGGCCGGAAGGCGACGTGGAATGCACTCAGTCCACCCTGGCAGCAGAAAATACAGAAAAAACAATGGTGAACATGTCAAAACACCATGTCACAATGTCGTGAACAAAATATCATGACTGCGCTTCTCATTTCCCAGCCTAGCTTGTGGTGTCATGTTGTCACAACATAACGCGTTGAATCTCACTGTGCCATGTGCTTATATCCTAACAGTGTGTCATGAAAGAACCTGCACCCAAGCATTGCCCCGCCCCAGCGTGGCACACTTGCCGCGCGTACAACAGGTTGTCCTTTAAGGAAACATGCTGCACACGTTGTAAAGCAGAGGTCCGGTCAATCCTGGATGTCCGAGAACGCGCTGCTTCTTGCATCTGCCCCTGAAGCATTCTATAAGAGTCGCACAATTAAAAAAAGTGTCGGAAAACCTATTTTCCCGACGGAGGTGCTGCCTCTAGGCAACGCAGGGCCCGTCAATCTATCGCCTTTCGCTTGGTTTGATGTCTCACCCTGGGCAGGATGCACTGACAATGAAAAAGTTCTCATGACTGTGACTGGACAGCGCAGGGCTGCACAAGTCTGCTTAAAGTCTACAAAGTCAGCAATAAGCAAAAACTATAGTTGCATGAGCCAGCCAGGCTCTATTTACACAAGCACTGACAATACCATCAAGCCACGCAAGAGCTAAGTAAGCTCTATTTCCCAAAAGGCCACGAGAGGCCTGATGACTCCCAGCCAACTGAAAACGAATGGCTGATCATGCGGTGAGGCCTTTGCGATCAAATGCTCTTTCAACTCATGGACACTTGGGGGTGAGGGCCTGGGACGAAAGCCTTGACGAAAGCTAGTTAAGGTACCCCGACGGAAGAGCATTCACCAGGAACGAAGGCGTGCAGCCGAGCAGGCACACGCAAAGTCAGCAGGCCGTGTCACTTTTTTGCCGCGCGCCAAGGCTGGGGTCGGAATTCGGCTTGCATAAGGAGTCCAGAGGAACCGACAGGGGGGAAGGCCCAGGTTGCTTGACATGGGACCCCTGGGATCCGCAGAAAACGGTGTTCAGTTGCACCAATATAGAGAAATGAACACCAGCCCGTTTCCCCAAAACATGCGTTTCGGCACCGGAAATTGCCCGGGTTTGCTGCTTTTCGTGGCGGAGCCTCCGGGGGCCCTGTATACCTATCTGGTTGTAAGCTTCGCTTAGGTAAGATACTCCGCTAGCTCCTCAGAGGCTAGCTTTCGTGATAAACGAGCCTCGCGGTGTTGAGAGCCTCTGCGCGAGCTCCGCTTCCACGCGAACCGACGCCCAGCCTCCCCTCGGACCGTGCTTGGCCTAAAAATACGAGGTCGCAGAAATTGATGCCGTGTTGCAAAACTCTGCAGGGCATATTGACGGTGCTGCTGAAGCGGTCGAGGATGCCCTCGTTGCTGACGACAATTCCGCAGGCTGCTGTTCTCCATGAAAGGCCGAAGACAGATTAGATGGGCAAAACAAAGACAATGCCGAAGAGTTGCTTGACTTGGACACTGGGGAACACCGCCCACAGGTCAAACTCACAGGCCACATGTTGCTGCGTCGGACAGTACTCAGAGAAGGGCACCTGCCAAAGAGCCTGCACTGGTTATCCATAGAGAGCGTATTCCACTATGTACTTGAAATCCTACTCACTACTCCTAGGTCCAAGGTATTCGGGAGCTGAGAACACTGCAATAAAGACCAAAAACAGCATAGCGATCACCTGGAGGCCGACGGTTGATTGACGCCCTCATTGGTTGGCAGGGGAACGCCAGTACAATGATGGGAGGATGCTGTCAGGAGTCTTCTGGCATACTCCTGCTCCCACGATTACACGGCGCACTCCTTCAAGCAAGCGCCACTGCACGATAGCTTCCACTTGCGTGAGGACCGTAAGAGCCGTCAGCTGTTCGGACCTTTCATTGCAGCAGCAGTTACTTTGACTGCAGTTCAGCACACGCGCAACTATGTCGACAAAGAGTCGACTAACATGAAGAGTGGAAGGCCCCAACGGCAGCTTGGCTTCGATCCTTGTGTAGGCGAATCGGCAAATCAGACTGACGTCGCGATTGCGCGATGCCAAATCATGCGACGCACTGCTGAGGGCTGGTGCCCACATGTTCCCACCTCAAAGAACAATACCAGAAATCCACAGGTGGGCAGGCCACGCTTGCCCCGTTAAGGTACTTGTCAGTTACTTGTCCATAGACAAGTGCGACCTGAACAAAACAACGGCGTCATGTGTCCACGAATTGCTTCTCGGCTCTTGAAATTCCAGTGGCTGATGTTGGTTCTCCAAGTCTTTGAATTCGACTGCACGGTTGCTGTAGGTAGATAGCATCAACCATGTCACGCATGCAATGTATGTAACTCAATGCTTTCCCGCTGATTGATACAGCCAGGTCAAGCTTGAGCCACCGAAGCTAAGCGGGGCTCTCCGAGCAACGAAAACGCGCGCCCAAGCCTGCCAATCCTTCTCTACATCCATGGCACAGGCACCGTATGCCCAAGCCTCAAACTCCTTGCCAGCGCTGCTGTTCAGGAAGACTCTCAGCGAATACTTCGAGATCCTTCCAGGATGCATGGTGATTGCTGTGTGGCCTTGCACCGTGTGACATAGTATTGAAAAAGCCAGGTGTCACAATGCCAGGTGCTTTCAACTCTCCGGCTCAAATTCTTTGCAAGACGGTATTCACCAGTTTCACCCAAACCAGTGCGATGGTTAAAAAAACTGTTGGCCTCCCATCTGCTCGCTTGACAGGCTGGTCCGTGTGACGGCCAAATAAGCCACCCTTGACAAGCAAACCATGTCAGCAGCAGAGCGTTTGTTTGGCCAATGCAAGAAGGTTGTTGCGACGGTTTGCAGTGAGGACTTCCTGAGACCCAGGCAGGGCCATACTTTTGGACGCGTATTACATCATTCAGGCCTCAAGGCATCGGTGTCTCAAGGCCGCAAGGCTAAAAGCCAAACAGCAAGGCAAGGCAAGGCAAGGCAAAGCAAGGCAAAGCAGGGCAAAGCAAGGCAAAGCCACGCCAAAGGCAAAGCCGAAGCCCAAGCCCGAGGCCGAGCTCGAGCCCAAGCCCGAGGCCGAGCTCGAGCCCGAGCCCGAGCCCCCAGCCCGAGCCCGAGAGCCCGAGCGCGTCCACGTCGAGCCCGAGAGCCCGAGAGCCCGAGAGCCCGAGAGCCCGAGAGCCCGAGCCGCAGCCCAAGCCCAAGCCCCGGCAACGGCAACGGCAACAGCAAATGCAAATGCAAAAGCAAAAAGCCAAAAGCAAAAGAAAAGGCAAAGGCAAAAGCAACAGCAAAAGCACAAGCAAAGGCAAAGGCAAAGGCAAACGCAATGGCAAAGGCAAACGCAAACGCAAAAGCATGAGCAAAAGCAAAAACAAAAGCAACAGCAAAAGCAAAAGCAAAAAGCGAATGCAACAGCGAAAGCAAAAGCAAAAAGCAAAAGCAAAAGCATGAGCAAAAGCAAAAGCAAAAGCAAATGCAAAAGCAAAAACAAAAGCAAAAGCAAAAACAAAAGCAAAAGCAAAGCAAAGCAAAGCAAAGCAAAGGCAACAGCAGCATAGTGACTTCGCTCTGGTAAACCTATGGTGCGATAGGAGCGTAGCTTTCCACACACACACACACCCAATGAGATCCGCGCCACATGGCACCTGATTGCAGGGGGAGGTACCAGCCTATCACCTATGGTGCAGCAATGAAAGGCCAACAACACTAGCACCGCTACCACCAGCACAGGCACTACTGCAACATTCTGCGCCGAACTTCCAGGGATCGTGCCTGTCCGTCAATGCTGAGGTTGCGGAGAAACCAGCTGAGGCCACAGACCCTCAGATCGTTGCAAAACACTTGACCCTTGATGTCATGGAATGCAACACAGATTGCGTAGAAGCAAGCCTTCCAAAGTCGGCGAATGGGGGCTCACATAAACTATGACCCTTTTGAATACAGACCTGTAATTCCCTGATCCCCCATGGATTGCTGCGAAGCAAGTACGTGCAAGGTTCGTTGACGTTGCTTTGTCGAGCGCTCTGGAACCTTTGCCACGCAGATGAGCATGTACATCCCCCTCTTTCGTCTCAGCTGTTCAATCACCCTTCTTCTGCAAGGCACCCTTACATGTAACCACATGCAAAGATGGACCCATGCCACTTCACGGCTGAGACTTCGAGAGGGAATGGCTTTCCTGCCTTTCACAAGGAACTGGAAATGCCGAAGGCAGAGCTTTGCTGCGGACTGCAAAATACAATGACGTCAGCCTCTGTCACCTAAACTTGGAGTCACGTATCATGCTCCCTGTTGACTCTTGCACTGAATGGAAAATAGGCCTTCGAGCCAAAGCAGCAAGGTTTGGTCAAGTAACAACTTAGAATCGAGATCGGAACGCATCAAACCTAGTCGGGTCTAGCCACTAGCCGCTTGAGCTGCAAACGAACAGAAAGCTTCAGATCTTGAACCTGCAGCAACGTGAATACTGCGACATGCGGCGCTCCCGGAAATGGAGACGTGAAGCGAGAAGCGAATGACATCAGCCGGCTTCATGCGGACTCGTCCCATATGCAGGGGGTTCTCCTGCGCTGCGTCTTTGGCAGCGCCTTGCAGCTGTAATGTTGCGACCCAACTGCCAAACTGCAGCACGAGGTCAGTGCAGCAGTACATCTGACTCATCTGACTGCCAACCGGCTGAATCTGCCTGTCGAGTCAATGAAACTAGAAAGCATCCGCACAAGACTCTAAAACCAATACGTTAGGAAAGGTGGAACGGCCTCCAGATCAAGGCCAACTTGGAGCTGCTTGCCTTGAATCATCATGGACCAAAATAGAAGTCGAGAAAATGCCACAGCCCTGATCTGTTCAGCGTCTGCAAGAGCTGAAGACGAGAAGCAATGCTGGCTTGGCATGCTTGCAGCAGAAGAGAGAGCAAGTGGCGTCACGCCCCAATCAACCAAGGCTTGATGGAGGTGGCTTTCTGGCACAGCTGAAATGGTCGATGTGGCATCCTTCGCGATGTTGACAGACATTGTTTGCGTTTCAGGGAATCTCATATTCTCTAAAGTCAGTCCTCGAGAATACAAAAGGCTGGCTGATGATACAGGAGCCGTGCAATGCACAGCCGCTGCTGCTCTTCCAGCGTTAGGACATCTCCCCAGGACCGTCGTGCAAACCAACCATCAGGCCTGCACAGCGTTGCACAGCGGTGGCACAGCGCAGCTTGCCGAAGGGTCTCTGTAAAGCTGAGCTTGCCTACACCTTGCCTACACCTTGCCTACATCCATCAACCTGAAGGTCCTTGCATTCCAAGCTTCTCTCGAGTCAACACATGGTCCAGGCCAACTGCTCGTAAGCACTTGCCTCTTCGCGGCGCCACGCAGACCCTACTGAAACGAGATCTGCAGCACTATAACAAGACTAGCTTGTGACGCCAAGTCGACCCAAGTCACGCATGCGACCAAGCCGAGGAAGCACTTCTCCCAACTGCGGCGGTCCAGTGGCATCAACTGTCTCAGTGCTCTCATTTCCACCAATCTCACATTGCAGCTCCACGTTGCCAACGACGCGGTCCTGGCACAACAACTTACGATCTGCGTTGCAGTGAAAGCGTCCGGTGCTCCTGAGGTCTCGCCACAGCTTTGACAAGCTCCTCCTCAGCTCATCGGCAACGAATCACGGCAATCAATGGGCAACGGCTCGTTTGAAAAACACAAGAGGCCTGTTCTTCCAACATGAAGAAAAGGAAATGTACAGCAACCTGTGTCGGCAGTACGAGGTTAACTCCAGTTGACTCTTGCAAAACACCCGAACATCTTGGCGTAGCTGTTCCTTTGGGAAAAGAGACCTTTGACAGATCTGGGTTGGCTGGGTTTTTTCACTTTGTCCATAAGTTGCCACCTTTCTGTTGTTGTTCTACATGCTGGCCGCCCATTCAAAACTTAAAGCAGGAGCCACAGCAGGCTACCCCATCCTCGTCCCCCGGCGCCCACCTACCCATGCAAGCGGGCAACAAAGGTGCTGAAGAAAGCAACCCCTCTGCGAACTCCGAGGTCACTGACCACCTCGGTGCTCCATGCTATCACTATCACCGTCACTTAGCGTAACTTACATGGGCATCATGAGAAACATTCTGTAGCCCGCCTGGCAGCTTGCAGCACCCAGCGCTACAAAGTGAGAAGACAAGGCCGCCTCCGAAATCACCTTCAGGATGAGCACTGTTGTTGGAACTGTTTGTTGCTACTTGGGACCACCGTCCGCCTTGAGAGAAGGTACAGATATGCACAGTCCGTTCAGCCCACCGTGTCCGTCCGACTTTAGACTCCGTAGCAAGAACAACAAGAATCTGGCCACTGTGTCCAATCAATGCCTCTGGCAAGCTTGGGACATGCACCTCAGCATGCATGAGCCCACCCGCAGAAACACTGGGTTGGCAGCACGTCTTGATTCAAAAGCAAACTCAAACGCACGGTCAGCTCGACAATCATCCATTGTGATCCGTGAATATTCGTTCGCTCGTGCAAACGTAGGCAATGTGCAACATGCAAGAAACGCACACTAGCTCTGAAAAACATTCGACAATCCTACAGGAACCGTACAGGTTGACTCCAAAGCGCAATAAACGGTGAATGGGAAGGCAGCCGCAGTAACAGCGGATAAGTCAGCTGCGTGAGGAGCCTTCACATAACTGGTTCTCTCTTCATCGTCTTCTACCCAGCGAAGAGGAACCCCCAGGATCTCTCTCTCTCTCCCTTTCGCCCTCTCGTCAAGAACTGTCTCGAGCTGATGCCGCGCCTGCAGAAGGATGGGACATAGGGATCTTCAAAGGCCGGCAGCACTTTGCTCCTTGAAGGCCTTCAGAAACTTCTCAGAAGTCGGCAGTGCAGAACCATGACGTGTCAGGAGCATGTGCTTCTACATGTCCGCCGTCTGACGTCGAGAACTGTCAACTGGCTCAACCACTTTAAAAACGCAAAACTGAAAACGTTTGAGCATGGCCCCGTCTTAATGAGAGCAAAACCAACACGTCACAACTAGCACTGCCATCTGAATTGCCCAGCATACAATTTGACATTTTCGACTTGCCTTGGCTGCAAGCAGTTGCGGCTCCAGCCCCCAAGAAGCAGCCTTGACCTTACCCAACAACAAAATGCAACAAGAAACGCTTGCTGAGGCATACTGAGGCTGGACCTCCGGAGACTTAGTGAAGTGCAAAATCGGCTGAGCAAAGCCCCGAGGTCCTGCAATGGCAAGAGGCCGTTGCGGAGCCTTCAGTGCGAAAAATCTCATCATGCACATGTCTGACATGTCTGATCAACGTGTACTATGCAATTGATGCTCATCGTCTTGAGCAAACTGAGTGCCAATCCACTTCAAACTGAAGCCTGCCCAGCAATACTGCCATGCAACAACCTAATAGACGAGCTAGCCGAGCACTCTCCGCAGAGCCAGCTGCCCAAATGCAATGAACTTGGCAACGTGCTTGATACCCCCCAACGAACGGTTGCTAGTCATAGACATTGTAAAAACCGAATAGATAGACTCATGAAAAGCCACAAAGTAAGTAGCAGTAGTGGTGATGCTCGTATAATACCATCATCGTAGGAATAAGAGCAAGAGCAAACAAAAGCAAGTGGAGAACCAACAGACAAATCACAAAAAGGCCGACAATTTAATTTGGACCTTGCTTGTTCTTTCGGTGTTTTGGACCTTCTGATCCAGTCATTCATGCATGCTGCCCAATATTGCCCAATGCTCAAGTCTCGCGGCATACACAACTCTACATAGTGTGCCTGGAGACACAGAGACCTGTCCACCTCGGTAGTAGCGGAACAAACTAGTAGAACTAGGGAACCAAACTGCCCCCACAGGCCTTCGAGCCAGCAGCGTACCGTCTTCGGTTCTCAGCTCGTCTTCTGCGAAGCGGAGGAGATCGTTGCTTGTGGGCGGCAGAACCTGCCAAGGTCGAACGGCAGCGGAAGACCATCCCCCAAGCATCCCCCAGCTGAGGAGCCTCCTCGGTCACCTCCGGGAGAGCAGGTCTTTTGCTTGCGGCCTTTCAGCGCAAGACCCGCACATCAACAGCCGCTTCCGGTGAACAAAGACAAGAGCGCTTCCATCCCTCTTGCAAGTGCCGCAGCCACCCACCGCTGCATGTGAAGCATGATGATGATCAAAACTCTCCCAGACATTGCAACCAGTTTAGCCGGCACAGCGAAGGCATGATCGTCAACGAGCAGAAGTGCCATGAATTGAATTCCATTGTTCTGTGTTCCTCGTGTCACCTGATGGATCTGACAGCAATTGCTCTACAAGTGAAGTTTCACAAACTTACTGTCTCCTGCCAATTCTTGTGACAGCAGGCCATTCAGGCCAAGCAATAACTCGCCTCTACGGCCACCACAAGCTCCAAACAGCGGGAGCCTCAGAATTCTGTTGATATGCCATATGTTTCATTACGCGGGGTCTTCATGGTCTTTCTGCGATGTTGGCACACAATAAAGATGTTCACTGCCTGCCAAGTCCCAGGAGCATTGCGCATCCAACTGCTCTGCTCGTTCACAGCCTTTGGCTATTTGCTGCACCGCTATGAATGCCGCCTGCATCATCCTGGCCAGGCAACAGTAACTTGCAGAAGGTGCTCGTGACCGAATTGAACTGACGTGTGATGCGCAATAATAAAACCGAAAATAATAATAAGAAGAAGAATGATAATAATAGCAATAATAATAGAAAGAACAATAATGACAGTAAAATAGTATTGAGAATAATAATAATGCAGTTTCGGAGAGGTCAAAGAGGATGCATGCATTCAGATAAGTTGACAGCATGTGCAAACTGGACACATGCGCTGCCTGTCGAAGAGAAATGCAGCACCTTGGCCAGTGTAGCACGGAGTTTGCTGTGACAAGTTCTCCCATGGTACTTCTTCTGAGTGCAGCGCACATGACCTCCGCTGAGGCAGCCCCAGTTTGTGCGCAGGGGTTGGAAAACTTCACTGAGAAAAGAAGCAGCGCCAGCAGGCGGACCACACAGGACCTGGCGTGCACGTGCAACATACTGGTTGTGTGAGCAGCGTGTGGCGTCTGGCACCCTGATCCGAGGTTCGAACGGCATCTGTCGAAAATCTGCCACACAGGTATAGGCAATGTGCTTCAACAGGTCGAGAATCGGCACGTCCAAGCCCTGCTGAGCTAGCTCCTCAGGAATCTTGTGGCATCTGAAACTGTTGGTTCAGGAATGTTCAGGATGTCGTGCTAGTAGATTGAAGAGGACCAGCACGACATCCACGCCTCGAACTCATCTTCCAGGTGCTGCTGCTCTGCAATACTCCTACAGGACAAAGCCAGGGCCTCTGCCCTTTCTCGCAGTCCTAGGCTGTCATTGAAGATGCTCAGTCGATACAGGCAGTTACAAGAACTGTTCCTTGCCAAGGCTCTGCAGTGCTGTGCCTTCCAGCGCCGTGAGATGTTTATTCACGAAGCAGTTGGACATGCCAGGCATGACTCCAAAGTCCATAGAATCAGCAATATCTCATGGCACCTGGTGGTCCCTGCCTCTTCCGGGTTTAACTAAAGACCCTTGCATCCAGTGCAACGGCATCCGCCTGGAAGTGCGTCTCACGCTCCGCAGCCTTTTGCTGCCCAGCCTTTCAAGGGATTTCGAGGTGACAGGTGGTGATGAGCGGGATTGACCTTTCAATTCCTGAATCTGGCCGTTACCTTAGGCTTTGCGCAAGCTCGACGCCTCCAGGATGTGTTGCAGCCATCGGAGTAGTAAAAGCTGCACTGGTAAAACCAGCGACCAAGCTTTGAGACTCCGAACCTGCAGCACTGCAGCATCACCGTGACCCTGTTCTGCAACCGCTTCACCCTCAGCCCAGATTCACTCAGATTCACTTTAAAGCCTCTGAGGTTGGGACCAAAACAGGTGCGACGAACGCGAGTTGGGCCAAGGACGGCAAGGAGTCGCAGCCAGCGGCGCCAAGGCCCTGATGCAGAGTCAAAGTCGCTGAGAAAACGTTGTCATGTGTCCACCTCACTAGCCCGGAGTGAATCTGTTGAGTCCTGAAGGCAACGAGAATGAGGGTGCAAAGGGCCTTTATTATGAGAACTTTATTGGGCCCTTTTCCACAGCCTCGTTCACCTTGAAAGCACAACGCTTTCAAAAGCTCCGTCAAGCGACGATCAGAACTCCACTTGGTGCAAATGGCGCGTGATCGCCCGCTGAACTCTCTGAAGGGGAAGCCTAAGCTTCCCCTTTCGGGCGCGGCTCATCTCCCGATCACATGTGGAGATGCTCACGCGTTGAATCACCGTATATCACCGTAGAGCGTCTGCCTTTCAAGCCCTGCCCACCCCCTTTTAGTGTGCACCAAGCATGGCGAACACAACATACAGGAAATCGTGATGACGAATGATGAAAAGAGGAAAATGATAAGACACCTCTCGGACTCAAAACCAACCTGAGTCCTACGGGCTCGTTTTCTGTTTGCCTGTGCCCGGCGGTGCCGCAATGTTTTCCCGAACCATTTGTCAACCCATTCAGCCACCACCACCCGACCCGCCAAAATGGGCTGCACCTGCAATGAGGATCGCACACAGGCATGGGTTGAGGGTCGGGCTGTTGAGTGGCCCAGACGCACGCTGAGCTGCTCAGAAACACGCCAACAAAGTGTGCAAGGTATGATGACCCTTTGCTGGCACCCCCTTCTCCGACTGATTCATCTGCTGCAGGCTACGGAAGTAGCTGGAAACCCCGAAACAAGTGTCACCGCAAAGGGGCCTCAAAGAGGCTTCGAACCTCTGCCAAGCGCTGGAAAGGTTCAGACACCTGAGCCCGTTTGACGTTTCATGGCTGTGAACATTGAAGCAGACAAATGGAAACCTTGTGCTGTTCCCGCGCCTCCTCGCTAACACGCATCAATGTCAGCTCGCGAAGCAGCTTCCGCTGCAGATGTGTGATTGCCCCGCTCCAGAGTTCCACAGTGGTGAGATTCACCTGATACCTCCACAAGGCCGCAAATCCAAACAATTAATACATGAAAGCTATTCTTAAAATATATCTAAATACATCTTCCCGTGATCAGCTGTTTCGTTCAACAGCCGAATCTCGGGTTCAAAGGCTCAAAGACTCGTTACACATAGGAAAACCACCCGTCTCTCGACAACAGCCCTGAAACAAAGCTTGGAAGCGTTGCATGTGATTCCTAGAACATTCGAAAAGGACTCACAGCTTTTGCTGCATTTTGCTCGTTTGACTTGCACAGCACGGTCCGCACTGGAGCAACACCACCCCCCTGGATGCAAGTTGATGAAGCCTTTCAAACTTTACCTCCCGACCACAGATCTACGCAATCTGTGCAAAAGCGCAGTCTGTGCAGAGCGCTGAACATTGTCTGAACATTCGGGTGAGCATGAGCCTGAGGAGCTGATCAGCCACACCACCACCAAGGACCATCAGGAAACCCAGGCAAACCTCCTTGAGCGCTGCAAGTTTGGCGAAGAAGTGAAGGCGAATAATGCATCAAAATTGCAGATGTTTTCAAGGACTTTGCAGCCGAGGATCCCGCACCAGACCACCCACATCTCTCGTCAAAGATGCACGGATGCTGCCTTCAACTGGCTTAGCGACTGAGACCCACTAGGTCGGTCAGCAGCGGATTGGGAAACTGAAGGCCCTAAATCGCGGCTTCCTGAATCGCGTGAAGCCGGTTTCCCGAATCGCATACTTTCTTGAACTGTCTAGTTTTCTTGAGCCGAGGCCAACGGAGATTCCTGAATCCCTGGTTTCCTGAATCCCAGTGTCCGAATCGCGCACGCGCGCGTCCGGTTTTTAGTGCGTCGCTCCACCGCATATTGCTCTGCAAGGTGCCCTGTCTGTGTGTCGATGTCGGTTTCAGCGCCGAGGGCGTGCGAGCTCTTCTTCTTGTGTTTCTTTCCCCATTGCTGCTGCCAACACTTTTACACTAGGCCATACTAGGCCGCATTCGTTGATAGAAAGGGCTGAATGTATAGTCTGGTACAAAAGCACTCTATGGCCGCTCGTTCAGCTAATGGCAGCTGATGGGACTCCAATGATGATGTCACTGCCATGCACTGCCTGCGAGAGCTCGACAGAATCTCCAGTACAGCTTGGTTCGCGTGTGCAGCAGAAGCAATATCCTCAGATATGCAAAGATTCCACACAATGTGTTGCTTGGTTTTCATCTCTGCCACCTCCCCGCCTTCCTTGACCTAGGGAAGGCACCTCGCATCCAAGCAACAAGCCAACTTTTTGTAAGATGGTTCTCCTTCTGCCAGATGTGAGCAGGCCAAGCCTTCAGAGATGAAAAAGCACAGAACGGAAAAAGAAAAGATAGAATCACGTGGAAAATCGTGGAACCACGCCCAGGAACTGAAGAGTTGCCCAAAGGCGCGACGCACGTGTCCTGCACATGAGCATCACTGAAGTCAACTAACTGCACCATGCTGCTTCACACTGTCCAGTGAATTGTCTGGATGGTGGTCGTTTGGTAGCCGTCTGCACTGTTTCAACTGCTCCTCCAGCGCTTTGTCACTGTCTCGAGTGCCGACACTCGCCGTGGAGAGCGACCTCTCACGAGTCAAGCCTCAATCCTAGTACACCCGTGCCTCAGTCGTTGAAACTGGCCACGTGCCTAACATGACAACACAACAAACTAGAAACGTAGATCCTGTGTTAGCCAAGCGGCTTCGAGGAGAAGTTGAACTCGTCGAAGGGTGGTTCGGCACGTCTGCCAATTGGTGCTCGTGCGGTGCCTCGAAATCCTCGAAAAAAGCCTGTGGTGGGCACGGTGCTTTGCTTGGTTCTGCTCAACGTAACAAGGCCTGTCAGGGCCTCGCTTAGCCAATTTTTGTCTATCTGGCTGCGACAAAGAAACATCCAGACGCTGGAAAGCTTCGGCAGACGAGCGTACTCGTGGCCTTATCGCCACCTGTCAATGCTCTGAACAAGACAAAAAGTCCGAGAACGGCCGTCTACCTTCGCATCCTTCTTCATCGGGGATTAAGGGTGCAAGGAGCGTGGACATGGCAGGGCGGCACAAAGCCTCAGCGACTCTCACAAGAAGCGTGTGACGCCGGCCTCACGTTTTGCTTGGAGATCGAAAAGCTTCCAGCCTGTGGCAGAATCTGTGCCCAAGACATCCCTGGACGCATCTGCCCACCCTTACTTTCCCGCAGGCCTCTGGTATCCTCACCATGTGCCCCATGCACTACCAGCATCCGTGTGTGCTCGTCTTTCAAGCTCTGAGTTGGACGCCGAGCTATGGTGATATAGCACACGCCTTGCTTTGGAAGCACAAAGAGGCACAAAGGCACATTGATGCGTTTTGCTTTTCATACTCTGAAATTGTTGAACTCTGCAAACTTATGCAGCCTAGCGACCCAATTCTCGGGCCAATCGCAGAAATCGACGCTCCAAGGGCTGAGGCATGGCGCTTGTGCTCTCATCCAGCACAGCAAAACGGGGTCGGTGGAACAACAGCCTCAAGTGACTCAAGTGATCGTGTGAGGCGAGGCCAGGTGCAAAAGACTTTTGATGCCCACGGTGTGCCCGGTGTGCACAAGACTGCGCAAGCATGAATCACATGGAGCTATGCTATCCGCTACGAAAAAGCCGTGCAGCCTCGCAAAGCCAAGAGCCTGTCGCTCCTGCAAGGAAAGACCCTGTAGATCTGCGGACACTTCCAGATGATCCTCAGAAGCAACAACGACATCCAATCCAGGTTATACTTAGGCTTGCATCTTTGAGCCCCATCAAAGACTGCAAGTTATCTTGCGGCTCTGGCTTCAAGACCCACGTAGCTCAGCCACTTCCGCTGTTCACCAGCAGGCAAGCCAACAGGGAGAGGCCTGCAAGGTTAAAGGCACCAATAACGTCAAAAAGGTTGACGGTAAAATGCCCGCCGACTTGTCTTAGTTGCAGGAGTTCATCTGAAAATATTTTCAACAGGCAGAAAACATCAATTGATCAGGACACCAAAACAAAATGCTTCTGGTAAACACATGACATTTGCGCAAGCGAACGCCACCATTTTATTTTGGTCAAGCGACTGGGTTCTGTTGACTGCTCCAGCGACCCCCAAAACTACCCACAAGGATTTTCCCCGGCTGCTTCTGGCCGATGGTGTAGCACCGCCACGCAACTGTCCCGAGGTCATCGCCGTAATAGGGAGGAGTACTAGCACTAGCAATGCAGTGGCAATAGCAGTAACAGCAGCAATAGCGATGTAGCAGCACCACTGCCACTACCTCTGCCCCTACCGCTACCGCGACAGATATCGCTCCCTCGACATGTGAAGTCGACCAGCACTGGACTTGCACTAAGCCAATGCAATCACAGCCCGGTCACGCTGTTTTACGACTTCGCGAGTTCAAGCACTTGTGCGGCTACGCCTGAGTGCGTCCGGTCGGACCGCACAGCAACCTAAGAGCTACTGTACGAAACTACCGTGCTCAAAGGCACAAGCTCGGTACTTGAGCCAAAACATTGGCATTGTTGCGAATTGCAAAACTACACATGCAAGGGAAAACTACAAGCTGCACTAGCACTAAGCAAGCACTCCATGCATGCTTTGACCTGCTCACATTCGCCCCTCAGCCGAGGCTTCCGGCTCACCAAGAGCTCATAGTGCGTCAAGCACTTCAGCAACGCGGCAAATGGGGTAGGGCGAGGGTGTCGCGTGCGACTCTGGTAGAGCCCGCACATCATGAGCATTGGCATGCGGCTTGGGCGACAGCCCGCACTACCAAACGGACGCACGACGACAGCAGCCCTCAACGACCCTAAACCACCCCAAGTCGCGAGCGCTCACCTTTATGCAGGCAGGCGAGGCTCCAGAGTACTGGGCAGGTCTTTATGCTGCTAGTGCAAAGCTATGGTACAAATGGTACACTGTACAAACTACCGGCCCTAAGCTACGGCTACGGCTACTCACCTATCCAGAACTACCCTACGGGCTACCGGACTCAGCGAGAGCCGCGCACATCGCTTGTGCCGCAGCCAGTGCAACTCGCACGCGCTTCGGCGAGCGCACTGCCGCGACCAGGGCACGGTCCGCAGCACCTGCAAAAGAGCACCCTCGACAAGAGGGGCCACAGGCAGGGCGGAGAAGAAAAGTGCGGGGAATGCAAAATGGGCAGGCTTCCAACCTGCCGCGGCTTTTCGCCCGCAGTCACGCAAAAGAAAGTGCAAAAGGTTGGCGAAGCAACGTGCCGTGCTGCGACGCCTGCTCTGATAATGCGTGGATATATACCACGCCGCGCCAACTGGCCGCAGCCTACTCGATACCCTGTGGAGCAGTGTTGGGGGCACGAGTGGCGTTGCCAGCAACGTTGGAGCTACTGGCTCGCTCCAACTGAGGGCGCTTCGCAACCGCCTCATCGAGGGAGAATGCCTCAGCCGACACCCTCTGGAAATCCTCGACGTAGGACTGCGCGACTGGGTGCGTCTTGGGGACCTCAAGCTTAAGCCCTGCCTCCGCATTGGCTTTGCTGCTTGTGGTAAAATTGAGGCTCCCAATCAGCACCACCGCGCCGTCAGGCCGCAGTAGGCAAAGGGCCTTGGCATGGTGCAGCCCTTGAATCCCGGTGCCTACCTTAGCCCCGCGGCCGTCGCGAGCATAGGCGTCGCGCAAGGATGTGCCGCAACCCACCTTCACCTCGGCACCTGCGGCCGCCAAGCGTTTCAACGCTTGCCACTGAAGCTTGGTGCGGTGGCATTGTCCCATGTCGGCGACAATCCTAACGCTTGCGCCCTTGCCAAGCGACGCTTCGATTGCCTCGATGCAGGATGGGCAATCTAAGCTGTAAGCCCGGATGTAGATCACATCCTCTGCTGCTCCGGACCCAAGCAGCGTTTGGGCGGCCTGAATGTATGGCCCGCCCGCAAGGAATTCCGCTTCTTTGACTGGAGAACTCCTAGCGGGGGCTGGGCCCTTGTTCCTCCGGCCTGGCGTGCGCGCCACCGTGGCAGTGGCGGCACGTTGCACGGAGCCGGAATGTGCGTGGGCTGCGCTCGCTCCATCTGCTGGGGCCGCGGCCAGGTCACGACCCGCGAGCCCCTGAAAGCAGGAGAGCCCGCGGCTCTTGGCCGCGAGTTGGGAGAAACACCCTTCACTGTTCCCCAAACCCAACACCACCTTACCCTTAGCTAGGGCATCGGAGGCGGTACTCCGAATGGAGTCTGTGAGCGCAGGACCCGCGCCTCGCTGGGCCGCGTGCAAAAACCCTAAGGAACGAGCGGTGTCCATTGCGGCATCGCAATGCCCGCAGCGTCCTTCTGCCAGGTAAGCACGACAGCCACAGGCAGCTGTCTCCTCCTTGAGATGCACCCAAACTTTATGGGTCACCCCTTTCTTGGTGCTCGCGACTTCAAACGTCGCCTCGGAGCCAAGGAGCTGAGACAGCCGCGCCTCAGGGGCCGCGGTGTTGCCATGTCGCAAATGCGCAATGCGATTGGCAACGGCACGACTCACGTACCACAGAACAGCACCGCACAAGATCACTACCAGAGTGATGGCTGTTCCGGCGACCCACACGGTCCGCCTGGCCCCATGGCCGATTTCCTCAACAACGTCGGCCGAAACCGTTGCAACCGCGTGCATGGAGTCCTCGACGACATGCACGACTCCGCGGTGCAACTGCAAGGCAATCGGCGCCGACGCTGCAGCCGCCAGGCCCCACCAGCCGTTGATGTTCCCGTTGAGGGCGTGCATCAACCGATTGAGGAGCCCGCGACCCAGGAAAAAAGGGGTCCGCGGCGGAAGCGGAACACTCGGCGGCGGTCGGGCCGACCCGCACGGGAAAGCTGGGACCCAGCTTGTGCTTGGGCGGGGTTGGAGCGCGGCAACAATGCCCGCGGCGAAAGCGCCCCAGGCGTACTTGCCCCTACCCTTGGGCTTGCCCTTGGCATCGGACTTGCCTCTGCCCTTCGGCTTGCCCTGGCCCTTGCCACGGGCATCTGCCCAAGCACCCCACGGGTCGCGGCCCTTGCCGTGCGTCGCCTCCTCGCGACGTCTCTTGCCGCCCCTCTTCTTGTGTTTGCTTCTAAGAAGAGGCTGGATCGTTTCCTGATCCATCGCGCGATTGGCCAGAAGGATCTCGTACTCCAGCTCATCTTGGCTGCTCTCGGAGCCCGAGTCCCTCTGTTCGCCGCGCCGCGGATCCGGGATCCCGCGGGACACGACCTCTGCCAAGCGGAGGGGTGTGCTGCACCTAAAGCACAGCTGCCTGAATGAAAGGTTCCATTCATAGCAGTTAGGGCACTGCCACCCTGCTATGCGGAGCGCTTCGCTGATGTGATCATCGCGCTCCGCCTTCTCCGCCTGGCGCCGCTCCCGCTTCTTGGCGCGCTCGGCCGCCTGCGCCTCCTCGGCCGCCTGGAGGGCTTCAGCGAGTTCCTCATCGCTGAGGAGCCTCGCGGCATCTGCCCGCGCTTGTTGGTCTTCAAGCTCTTCGGCAGAAAACCTCCGCCGCCATTGCTCCGGCGCGGTTTGGGGATCCACCTCCCACCACCCGATGTCGATCCCATTGATCCATCGGCCGTCGCACGGGGCGCCCGCATTCGGGCCGCCCGCGTGCGTGGTGAGGCACTGGTCCTCGGTCACCGGGTTAATGGCTTCGCAGAAGAAGCACCGCCAGCTGCCGTAGGGGTAAAAGCGGCCTTCGACGTAGGCTCGGTTGGCTGGGAGGGCGACCTCGTCCGCCTCATCCGCGGTGGCAGCCTCCATCTCAACCGAGACCTCTTCGTCCTTGACGACCTCAGCCTCCTCCTCCTGTTCCTCCTTGAGGGGCTCTTCCTCCTCCCGGCCAACCTTGAGGTGGGACTCAGTGCGAACCTCGGCGCGCATCAAAATGACGTCAAGGCTATCCGCGGCTGGGTCGCCCGCGAAGAAGGAGTCGATCTCCTTGGCATGGAGATCGTCAAGAGGCGTCACCAGGTCCGGCGAGTAATCTCGCTTGGAGCGACGCTCGGCCAGGCGTCGCTGGACGTCGCCCTTCGGCGGCTCGAGGGCCCGCCCGCGCGGAGCGGCCTTCCGCGGAGGCTCGGGCACGGCCTCCTCCGTGGGCTCGCTCTTGGGCGTGGACCCTCCATCGCTTCCCTCTGGAGCACCAGGGGGGTCCAGCTCGGGGTCGTCGCGAAGCCACCCCGGCGGATGGCTACCACCATAGATGTGGTGCGATCCATCCTCAAGCTGGATTCGGTCCCCTCGCCTCAGGAGCGGGACTCTCGAGTGATCGTACCCGTTGGCTTTGTGGTACCTAATCACTCGGAGCATGGGCACCTCCCCATACCCACCGTCCTTTCCTCGGCGGAACAGCCGTCCCCGCCAGTCCTGACGAAAAGGGTCAAGAGGTGCGGAGGGGCTGATCCTCAGGTTGGGCGGAAGAGAGGCGCCATGGCAGGCCGCCTGATGCAAGTGGTACTGCACC